GAAGAAGTATTTGGGGAAACTTATGAAGATTTATTTAGTGGCATTCATAGTACCTGGGATCACAGTCTTAAAGCTGCAGGACCAACCTAAGTATGAGCACTGGTTAAATAAATCACATGACATCATGCAGCCCTCATACAGGAAGCACTGTCCCTGCTGACCTGGGGCAGGCACAGAACCATGTCCGAAAGACGAGCCCATTCTGGGATAGGACAAGCATCAAGGGGCGTTCTGCTCCTGGCTGTGTGTCTTTCTGCATAGGCTAGCTTTTTCCTTTCGACAGGATGCACCATGCTTATATCCTGGGTAGAAATCAAGCTATTTCCATGGGAGGAGTGAAACAAAGCATTCATTGGCTGAAAAACCATGTCCTATCACTGTCCACTACCCCAGGCATGCAGTCCTGCCCCCAGTCCTCACTTTCCGCCCACGTTCTGGGAGCTCGTCCTTCTCTGACTGTGTCTTTTCACAGTGCGGCTCTACCTGGTGGAGAGAGTCCTGGGGCACAGGGGTGGGCACTGGCCCTGGGACTGCCCGCTCAGGTCCCAATTCCCACTAAAATGCTAGCCCTGGATGGCCAAGCTGCTAGGAGCCCCGAGGAGCCCACAGCTCATCGCACCCCACAGATCCCACATCTAGGTGGACAAACCTGGTGTATCTGATCCCAGAGTGGATCTTTTGTCAACACCTCCTCTGCTATACTGCAATATGATTTTCAGTAATAATCATCTAATAATCAGCAATAGTTATTGACTCATTCTTTACTTTTAATAAGCAATTAAAATTAGCAATTTTAAATACTTTTGTTTTTAAAATATTCAAATTCAGTAAGATATTTCACATATGAAATAAAGTTTGCACCAACCAAACAAAATTATCACAGCTTTTAAATTTTAAACACAAATAAAAACTCCAAACGGGGGGCACCTGGGTGGCTCAGTTGGTTGGGCAGCTGCCTTCGGCTCGGGTCATGATCCCAGGGTTCTGGGATCGAGCCCCGCATCGGGCTCCCTGTTCGGCGGGGAGCCTGCTTCTCCCTCTCCCTCTGCCTGCCTCTCTGCCTACTTGTTCTCTCTCTCTATCTCTCTGTCAAATAAATAAATAAAATCTTTAAGAAAAAAATAAAATAAAATAAAAAAACTCCAAACGGTCACAGAATTACAGAAGTGAGAAAACTGAAGTGCCCCTTGAGCTCTAAAAACCATTCACAGTGCCCAACCATGAAGCACTAAGCCTCCTAAGAAAACCTGGTAGTGGGTCTGAATTAATGTCCATACAGAATACAATGTTTCCTAAAGGATGGGTGATAAAAATTGCTAATTTGAAACTTACATATACCCTACTAAAATTCAACAGTAACCACAGTATTGTTTAAAACTTGACCAACAAAAGATTTGTGGAGTAGGAGTATTTGATCTCTGATCTTTAGATTTGCTGGTCTCATGGGAATAATAAAAAGCTGATCAACTTTGGCTGTATTATTTTTAAATTCTCTACAGACAAGGCACCCTCTACCTGCCTCTCCCTTTCAGCCCTCAGGTCCCCTTGAAGGAACCAGACGTGTGGCTCCCAGCAATCCCCATGCTGGTTCTCATTCCATGCCACACTGGGCTCAGAGCTCCCTTAGCAAAGAACAGAATTCCCACAAACCACTAGGCACTCCTCATCCCCTTCCTCTTCCAGGAGCCAGGCAGGCGTGCTACAGAGCTCAGGAGAATGGACACATTCTTTTAGTTTACTTGATTGTTCTTTTTCCTGTTTCTAAGATAAATAATAAGTTTCTTTACACTTAAATTTTTTCTTCATTAATAACGAAGTTATACAGCTTTAGCTATGTCCTATAGAGTTGGATACGAGGGATCTGATCTACCTTTGCAAGGTTTTATATATAACGTGTAACTTCACATTTGAGTTTCCCTTTGATCCAGCGGTTTTTAAGAGAATTTGTTAATATCTAAGTATTTAAGTTTCTTTTAAAAAATATTTTATTGTTTGCTTAGATTTATTTTGGACTTTGCGGGCACCTGGGAGGCTCAGTCGGTTCAGCATGGGACTCTTGGTTTGGCTCAGGTCATGATCCCCGGGTGGAGGGATGGAGCCGCACCTCCGACTCCAGGCTCAGGGCAGAGACGCTTGAGATTCTCTGCCCCCCCCGCCCCTCCCCCAGCTCACAGGCCTGCGTGCACATGCATGCACGCATGCATGCGTTCTCTCTTAAATTAATTAAAATCTTTTTAAAAAATTATTTTGGACTTTGTGCAAATATGTGTCCTATGTCTCTTTATTCAGTTTGTATGTTTGTTTTTAGTTTTGTGGCCCAGATTATTTTTGCAAATATTCCGTGGACTTAAATAGATGCAAAGTTCTCCCTACACGTAACAATTAAATTGAACCTTCTGTTTGTACTATTTATTTTCTGTATTCTCATATTTTTTTGTTTGTTTGTTTTTCTGCAGATCCGTCCATTTTTGGAATGGGTGTATTGAAGCCTGGAGAAAGGTGGCACCAACGCTCTGGTCCAAGGCCCAGCCTGCAGGGCTCCGGCAAGTGCTGTGGACTCCGAGGAGGAAAAGCCCGGTCGGCAGAGGGTGCGGGGGGGATGGGCGGAGCCAGGTTGGGGTACGGGGAGGTCAGTCCCCGTTGCCAGGAGGCGGGGTCTGGACACAATGGGGTCTGGGAGTGGCTGGGCGGGGGCGGGAATCCAGGCACCCCCACCTTGCCTTCCCGGCCGGCAGCCACAAAAAAAGGTTAGTGCATCAACTTTGGGGCCCCCTCTGGGTACCGGGTTCCCCACGCCGCCCCCTCACCCCGGTGTCCTTGCCCCATGCCCCTAAAATATCCCGACCCCCAGAACCCCAGGGAATTCCTTTCCCGCAGGATCGAGACCAAACTTTGCGCGCTCACACATCCCTACTGGACTCGTTTTGGGGGCAGGAGATGGGAGATAGGGCCCCCGCCCCCGCGCAGGGCCGGGAAAGCTCGGGTTTGTTTTCCCGGCTCCTGGGATACACGATGGGCCCCGCCCCCGGAGTCGCGAGGAGCTGGAGCCGAGAAGTGCGTCCTGCGGAAGCTGTGGGTGGAGGGGCCGGGGCCGCCACCTTCTGTCCACAGGTACCGCAGGCCTTAAGCGCACCCCACCCTTGCGCGCTATGGGCTCGGACATCTGGGTCGGCCCTTGGCGGCCCCACCGGCCCCGCGGCCCCATCGCAGCGCTCTACAGAGGCCCAGGGCCCAAATACAAGCTGCCACCGAACACCGGTACCAGCGTCGGGCGGGTGTACAAGGAGGGGGCTAGCGGCGTCTGGGGGGACGGCGGGCTGTGTCCGGGACAGGGAGCGGCGGGGACCCATAGTGGTGCTGGGACGCTCCCGCAGGCTACATCCTGCACGACCCGTCGCGGCCCCGCGCTCCGGCCTTCTCCTTCGGCGCGCGCCTCCCCACGCAGCAGACTTCTTGCGGCCCGGGGCCCGGCCACCTGGTTCCTGCTCGCATGACCGTGCGCGGCCCCGACGGCACCCCCGCCTACTCCATCTACGGCCGGCCCCGCCACGCAGCGCCCCTCCTCACTCCCGGACCCGGTCAGGACCCCTGGGACCCCGGTCTCCCCAACACCGAGCCTCCTCCAAGAAGGCCCACCAGGAACCCCCCACCTAAGCCCCGAGCCGCCCTCGTGTACCCTACCACTCCAAATTCGGTACCCCCATATCCGGATCTCAAAAGAACTCCAAGCCCCACCGGGCTTTGACAAATCGTGGCTCGGATTCACCCTAACCCCAGACCCCCAACCCGGGTCCCCACTACCGCCCCAAACCGGTTCCGGCCCACACACCCGGTCCGCCCCGCAGGCACGTACTTCCCTGAGCGAGCTGGGAACGCGACGTACCCCTCTGCGCCTCGGCATACCATCGCTCCCCGAAACTGGGGCATCCCTGAGGAGCAGCAGACCCCAGGTGAGACCAGAAAGGCCCATTCCAGCACCGTGGACCTTCCCATCCTCGACGGAGAACCACTCTGCAGGCTGCGGCAGGGAGGCCCTGGCCTGTCCACGAAGACTAACCCCTAGACCCACCCTTCTCTGGCCCCTCCCCAGGCCCTGGGACCTACAATGTGCCCTCGTTCTTGGGTCCGCGCGTCATTGGTAAAGTCTCGGCCCCAACTTACTCCATCTATGGCCGCAGCGCAGTGGGCAACTTCTTCGAGGACCTCAGCAAGGTGGGGTAGGGGCTGCCGGGCGGGGTGTAGCTAGGGGTCGGAGGGGCGGGCCACAGGGGGTCACGAAGTAAGAGATGAGGGCCAGTGGTCAGCGGGGAATGAAGGCCGGACCCAGCGCCCCTGCCGCCCTCCCACAGACCCCGGGCCCCTGCGCCTACCACGTGGTGAACACTGGGATCTACAAGTCTCGGGCCCCCCAGTTCTCGATGCTGGCGCGGACTTCGCTCCCCCAAGACAACACCCTGAATCCGGGACCCGCAGCCTACAATGTGGCCCAGGTGGTCTGGAGTCCCGGGCCAAGGGTCAGAGGCGGGGGATGAGGGTCAGGATCCTGGGAGGGTCCCGGCGCGGGGCTGCAGGGCTGGCCCCGCGAGGTCAGCGACGTCTCCTGGTCCCGCAGCACCGGAAGCCTCGCGGCTGCAGCTTCGGGATCCGGCACTCGGACTACCTTGCCCGGGTCCTGACCAATGCAGATGATTGACCGGCCGGGAGGGCGCGGCCCCAAAGACGTTTGCTTAAAGCTTCCCGAGCCAGCAGCGTGTCCACCCCTCTGTGTTCGCGGCGGGCGCGCGGGGCGGGGAGCGAGCGCGTCGGGACACTCGGGCCCGGGAAGTCACAGAAGTCGCGCGCCCGGGGGCCTTCGTGATTGGTCGGGGCAGAAGTGAGCGGGGGGGGGGTCGTCCCGCCCCCCTGAGGCGGCCATTGGCCCAGAATCCCGCCTGTCTGGGCGGCCCGGCCCACCCGCCGTCCCCCTGCGGCCGCGGGCCAGGCCGGGCTGAACCCGCCTGGAATCTAAAGCAGGACCGGTGAGGGCCACTGTCCGGGACAGGTTCAGGCCGGGGTCAAGTTGTGAGGCCGAGAAGTGGGAGCCAGACACGGAGACACGCACACGGACAACACAGACACAGGACAGAGGTGCGGATACGAAAGGGAGAAACCGGATCCCGTCGGGACAAGTGCACCTGCCGCAGAGACACGGACACAGGGCGGCGGCAGGTTCCAGCTGTCTCGCACCCCGCAGGTCCGGAGTGATGGGGCCACAGGGAGCCAGGGCCCTCCAGAGCCCAAGCGACTCCCGGAGCTGCTCTGCCTGAACGAGACAGGCCGCCCGAGCTAGGGAGACCTCAGGGGCTTCGTGCGCGCTGTGGACGGGAGCGCGCAGGGCGTGCAAATTGGTGCGCAGGAACTTCTGGGCGCCTCTGACCCCAAGATCAGCCCTAGAGACCGCCTACCCCCGGGGGCCCCAAAGAGCCCCACCCCCGTCAGTGACCCCAGGATAACCCACCGCTGTGGGAGCACCCCCATCGTGTTGGATACTCCACCGTATCCCGTGCCTCGGGGCCATGCTAACGGCCATGCCACTGCAAGGCATGGGCCTGGAGAAGACAGTGGCGCTGACCCAGGCCCTGGCTAAGTCTGGGCAGCAGCTCACAGACAACTATTGCACAGGGGGAGTGGGTGACAAGGTCAGCCCCGTCCTCTTACCTGCCCTGGCTGCCTGTGGACCGCAAGGTTAGAAGATGCCTCCTTTCCAGACCTTAAAGAAGTTAGCAACCCACAGGCAGTTTCTAATTTCAAGCCTGGCCTAGACGGAGTCCCCAAAGGCAGACCCAGGCTTCTCATCCCCAGGACAGAACTTAGGTTCCCTCCCCCCATCAGCCCCCATAACAGGACCAAGTTACCCAGCCCCTTGGGTACCCCAGTCAGGACTCCCAAGAGAAGAACCGGGTACTCCTCTCCCTTGGTTCCCCAGACTTGAGCCCTCAGGATAGTCCTCCTCATCACTCCCCATACCAAATCAGGACAATTTCTTTTCCATTCCCTCTCCACCAGCGGCACATCCACTACAACTGCTTAGAACTCCAGCTGAAGTCCTAACCAGGGAAAGTAAGGGGAGTAGCTGTGCAGTGCACTCAGCACCCCTGCCCAGCAGGTACCAGTGATCAAGAGATGTGGTCTGGAGTAAGGAGGGCGGGGCACAACTTGGATAAACTGGAGTCTATTTCTCTATTCACTGTCATCCAGAGCTCAGGTGGGCTGACTGCTCACTGATCTAGGTTATTGATAGTAATATTGGCCAGAATCTCTGAAGGATCACTGATAGGCCATTCATCAGGGTTGGATATTGATCAAAGTTATTTATGGGTCATTGATGGTCACTGAACTTCCCTCATCAGAGAAACTTCAATTGGAGTCATTAATAGGGACTTGATTAAAATCACTGTTGGGTCTCTAATCAATCATTAATGGGCCATAGGACATTGGTCAATATCCCTGATGGGTCAGAACAGTCATTAATAAGGACTTACCAGAATTGTTCATAAATCTGTGGTCATAGTCTTGGAAACTCGTCATGGTTGCTGATGACAGTGTCAGTGCAAGGGTCACTGAAGGTCACTGGGAGTCCTGATGCAGGGGAGTTTGGCCAGATGTAGGGGCTGCTAGAGGGAGTGGACTGCTGTCCTGTGGATCAGGGCAGGAGGCTGGTTCCTGTGGATGGACTCCTGTATGAAGCCAGAGGTGTCAGCCACCGTTAACAGCCTGCTAGTCATCACAGGTAACCTGACCCCAGACTCTGGGTCTACCTCCTGCGTATTAAAGATGCCTGACCTCTGACCACACAAAGTCCAGAACCCCATCAGGGGACCATGGGACCTCCCCCAAAAAAGACGATCTGGACCAACCCCAGGGTCAGTGTCCCCTTATCACAATATGCCTGACCACTGGGGCGCCTGGCTGGTTCAGTTGATAGAGCATGCAATTCTTGAGGCCAGGGTCGTGATTTCGAGCCCCACCTAGGGTGCAGAGATTATTTAAAAAACAAAACAAGATGCCTGACCACCAACTCAAGAGGGTGACCTGACTGATGCCCCCTCCCCCATAGGGAACTTGGCCTCAATGTTCAGGGTCCTTAACCTTTCATGACTGACCCAAGAGTCAGAATTCCCCACATCCCCTAGGAGGCTCCAGGCTCCTTATCACCTCCAGGCCCCTCTGCCTCCCCCCACAGCCTTCATCCTTGGTCAGAAGACGGTGGAGAGGGGCGCCTGGGTGGCATAGTTGTTAGGCGTCTGCTTTCGGCTGGGGTCGTGATTCCGGGGTCCTGGGATCGAGCCCCGCATCGGGCTCCCTGCTCCGCGGGAAGCCTGCCTCTCCCTCTCCCACTCCCCCTGCTTGTGTTCCTTCTCTCGCTGTCTCTTTCCCTGTCAAATGGATGGGGGAAAAAAGCTGGTGGACAGCCCATCCGCTCTGGTGGTGGACTTGAAGTTTGGAGGGGCAAGTATTCCCTAGCCATGCCCAGGAGCTGGCTAGAGCACTGGTGAGCACCTGTGCGTGCTGGACCCTGTGTGGCCTCTGTCCGGGTGGGTTTCCTAATGTGAGCTCAGTCTCCCCTTCCTAACTCTGGTAGTTTGGTCGCATAGCCTCTTGAGAGCTGGAAGACCGCTCAGCCCCGGGGCTGCTTCGAGTGGAAGCTCGGGCGCAGAGCCTGGACCTGGGCCTGGACTGAGAGCTATGCTCCGGGACCCTCGCGCCCGGGAGCAAGAGGAGTTCCACGCGCCCGTGGACAGTGGGCGCCGGGAGCCCTCCGTCCCTCCCCACCAAACCCTGCCGCTTCCCTTCTGAGTTCCTCTTTTCCTTCCCCGAGCCCTGGCCTTGACCACTCTCCTTCCTGAGTCCCGGATTCTCATCCGCGGCCCCAAGTCCTTCCGCCCTCCCCCCGGGACCCCCTGGTCCCCTACCGCGGCACCTCGGGCCGGCTCCGCGGAGCTCGTCCGGGGTCAGCGGCGCGGGGGATCGGGGGATCGGCTCCGGCGGCGGTGGGCTCGAGGCTGCGCCGCTGCGAGCGCCGATCCCCGCCCCTCCTCGCGCCCCGTGGCCTTTAGGAGACGTCGTGCCCTCGGACCGCGGGCTCTGCGCCGACCGACACACAGCAGTAAGGCCGGAGGGCGCGAAGCCGGGTCCGCGGCTGGCGCGCGGGCGGTCGGCAGAGGGCTGAGAGGGAGCGAGCCCCGAGGCTTCCGAGGGAGGTGCGGCAGCCGCCTAAGGGAGCAGGGAGGGGCGAGGCCAGAGAGGAAGCCCCGCCTCGCCCTGCACTTGGCCTCAGGCAGCGACAGACAGCTTTTGCGCACGCGCGTGGGGGCAGGGGGCGGGAGAAGAGCGGGCCTCACGCTGCACGCGCATGCGCGTCGCCCTTGACGCAGGCGCGCTGGTGCCGAGCGTGCCGGTAGCGCAGAACCCTGGCGACCCCGACCGTGCATCGTGGTTGAGGCCACGGCTGCGACTAGCTCGCAGAGAGCGGGGCTGTCCCCTAACTCGCGATACTGACGCCGGGTCCCAGAGAGCCTGGGTCGTGCCCGGTGCGTGGACCCGCCGGTGTCCAGCTTTCTGAACTTTCCGTTGGGCAGACAGCTGCGCGTCGCGGAGGGCGCCCTGGAAGTGGGGGCTCCCAGAAGAGAGGGGCCCAGGAAGTATCCACAGGCCGCTTTCGCTTGCCAGGCACATCCCGTGCACAGCTTAGAGGGCGTATGTAAAGGAGGAAGCTGGCGTGGAGAGGCTGTGGGACGTGCCGAAGGTCATCGAGCCCCGAGCGCAAGCCACCGGACGTGGCGGAGACCAAACGTGTAGGAATCCCCGGGAGGGTCTTTTCAGCAGCTGAACAGGTGAGGGGGGAGTCCTAGGACTGCCACCTGGCACTTTCCAGGGGCTCCTGCGAGAAAGTCAGGGAGGACACGGAATTCGGTGTCGGAATCCCGGATGTGAAGAGGGTGGGCTTGTGCCAAGTCGAGACCTCACTTCTCTTCCGGGATGAGAGCACCCAGAAAGCTCGACGTGGAAGGGGCGCCCTGTGGGCGGAATGGTGTGGGCGCACAGGGTTGCTGCCGAGCGCGGGGTGGGCAGGCCGCAGAAGGGCCGGAGGAGTCCATCCTTGGGGGGTGAGACTAAACTCACCCGCCTCCAAAAACGGTTTATTGCAAACAGATACACATGCTCAGGAACTCAGACAAGGCATGCACTTGGAATGCTTTCAGTCAGCTAAGATGGTGAGGTGCAGGAGTGCTTCCCAGGCCACACAGAGCTGCAGGTGCAGGACCGGGGGCCAGGGTCGGAGAACAGGCATGGGCATTGGGGGGACACCTAAGCTGGAGCTGAGCTTCCATCGGTTGAAGCACTTCTGTGCTCTGCAGAGCACTAAGGGAGCAGCTGCGGTGAGCCTGAGTATGGGCTTGGTCCTTTAGATGGTGTCAAGTCTCCCCAGAGCTACGGGGGTTGACCCAGGAGGCTGAGGCCACTACAGGCCCCTGACACCTGTGCTCTCTTCCAGGAGCATTAGGCCCATGCTGCTGCTGGTTTGGACACCCAAGGCTTGGCATAGGCTCTTTCTTCTCAAGCCCCCAGCTCTCCTTTGGACGCCAGGAGGCGAGGCCCTACACATGAGGTACCGGCTCATGTCAAGGCAGGGCCCTGGAGAGGCGAGCAGGCAGAGCCAGCCCCAGGGCCCTGGGTTTCGGACCAGGCTATTGATCACTGCTTTGTTTGGGGCTGGGCTGGGTGGGGCCTGGCTGGTGGCAAGGGCTGAGAAGGAGCAGCGGAGGCAGCAACAGCGGACAGAGGCCCTGCGCCAGGCAGCCGTGGGCCAGGGTGACTTCAGCCTGCTGGACCACCGGGGACAGGCTCGCTGCAAAGCTGACTTCCGGGGTCAGTGGGTCCTGATGTACTTTGGATTCACTCACTGCCCCGACATCTGCCCAGATGAGCTGGAGAAGCTGGTGCAGGTGGTACAGAAGCTGGAGGCCGAGCCTGGCCTGCCCCCAGTGCAGCCTATCTTCATTACTGTGGACCCCGCACGGGACACCGTTGCAGCCATGGCCCGCTACGTACAGGACTTCCACCCACGGTTGCTGGGTCTGACCGGTTCTGCTGAGCAGGTAGCCCAGGTGAGCCGCAGCTACCGCGTCTACTACAGCGCTGGCCCTAAGGATGAGGACCAGGATTACATTGTGGATCACTCCATCGCCATCTACCTGCTCAGCCCTGACGGCCTCTTCACAGACTACTACGGCCGGGCCAAATCAGCACAGCAGATTGCGGACAGCGTGAGGCGCCACATGGCTGCCTTCCGCAGCGTCCTGCACTGAGTCAGGTCATTAAAGAGGGTGTGATGAAGCTGTGTGCCTGTCCTCTGTCCCAGCAGCCCCAGGAGGCCAAGGCAGGAAAGGGCTCAGGACCTGGTCACTTGCCGAGGGTGTAGGGCATAGGCAGCCCTTTCCCTGCACAGAGCAGGAGTTTAATTTTTTGAAGGGTTAGGTGGGATGGCAACACCATTTTATTGGGCTGGGCCAGCCAGGAAACAAGGGTAGAGTGAGCAAATGCATGCCCAGCACCCATGAGGGATGGACCTCCAGAGCCTACCCCTCAGCCTCAATGCTCCCCAAATCAGGGCTGGGCCATGGAGGGGGCAGCATAGGTCTGGAAGCGCTTGTGGGCCCGCTGGTGCGTGAGTAGTCTCAGGGACATGGTGTCCACGGCCGCCTCCAGCCCCGGCTGCTGGGTGATCTCCACCGTGTAGTCGTTGGCCTGTAGGGATGAAGTGTCAGCCGAATCGGGGACCACTTCCCTCCCAGGCTCCCCAGGCCACTCACCAGCTGCAGGGACGCCAGCATGGAACGACACACCTCGAAGGCAGGCTGGCCAGCAACTAGCTCCGCAAAGGGACACCACTGGTTGAGCTGGCTGAACCTTGAGACTACCTGGTCCCCATAGGTATGGATGTCAAAGGGCACATGCTGTTCCTGCGAGGAGGAGGAGCAAGATCCTGGGGCAAAATCAAGGCAGGCAGCAGGGGAGTCCCTACTTCTCAGCCAGAGCTTGGCCCAACCCCTCACCTGCTCTTGGAGCAGGGGCTGGATAGTGTCCTCCCAGTCCCTGATGCGCTGGCTCAGCTCTGTCTCCTGGACGAACTTCTGAGAGGTGGCGATGAAGAGCTCCTAGGGGAGGACCAGGGAGCTGCCACCTTCTGTGCAGGGGCCCCTCGCCCAGCAGCCCACCTGCTCTAACTCAGACTTACCACATTCCTTCGGACCAGCTCCTCATAGCTCAGGGACACTGGCATGGCCTCTGCTTCTGGAAAAGGGGCAACTATGAGCTGCTGTGGCCACAGGCCACACCCTTTCCTCCCTCCCCTGTCCTCAGAGGCCCCTCGTGACCCCCTGGCCAGCAACCCCCCTCAGACCTACCCAGTTCTGCAGCTTCCCCAGGCTTTGCCTCCTGAGGCTCTGCATACTCCTCAGGCTCTAGAAAGTCATCTGCTGGTAGACAGAGAAGACCCAACAGGAAGCAGGTTTGCTGGCAGCACATGCTGAACCCCCCACCCTGGCCCATCCCAGTAGGCTCCCACCTGCTGTCCCCAGATCCTCCAGGGAGTCCTCCAGCTGGTCCTCCACAGGCCACAGCCCTTCCTCAGGCCTCGGCAGCCACCGCTCGGCCATCTGTGCAGACAGCATCTATGAGGGGCACTGCTGTCCCCACTAGGGGCCATGTGGGGTCCAGACAGTGGCCAGTACTTACCTCCCGCCTCTGAAGCTTCCGGAGAGTCTCCAATTGCTCCTTCACGTGCTTCCAGTACAGGACCTCCATGTCTGCATACAAAGGCCTTGTGAGAGGGGCTCCCATGTCCTGCACAGGCACCCCCAGTCCACCTAGAGCCTTGGGCACCCCCCAGGTCAAGGGGAGGCAGACAGAATATGACACAGCACCACTGTCCCTCAGGAGAGTGTACACACAACTCTGACCTCACCTGCAAAGGACGGGCCCTTTCGCCGGGACCTCCTGCTGTCAGCGTGGTCAGCATCTTCAAGAGAATTTGGTCAGCAGGAACCAAGCCAAGTCCCTGTAGGCTGTACCTGGACCCTCCTGCCCTGGCCCAGCCCCACCACCACTCACAGGCAGCCAGGTACCACTGGTGGAAGTCCTGCAGCTTGGTGGCACCCTTCCTCTTGCGCTTCTGTCCTGGAACCTCCTCCACGCAGGGGGGCACGGAGTAAGGCCTACCTGGGGGCAAATGACTATGTCTCCGAGCACAACTTCGGGCCCTGTGGCAGGTTATGGCATCCACACGCTCTAGGAGCAACTGCACAAGGGAGCACAGCCCCACCAGGCTCCTAATGGGTATAGAGCCCACCCTCATCAACCACCAGTGCTCCAGAGAACCCATCCACAGAAGCCCAAATGAAGGTGACCCTCCACCCAATTACCTTTCTTGAAGGGCTTAGAGTCCAGGGAGTCAAAGGGGTCCAGGCTCTGCCAGGGGTCCGGAGTCTCCTGAGCAGAAAGCACAGCAGACACTGTGGCGGGGGGAGCAGGGGATGTGCACCCTCCCTCAAAAGCCCAGACACTGAGTGCAGTGACGGCCAGAGGATCCAGGACCAAGGGTGACACACCAGGGAGGGAGATGCCCCAGAGCGGCAGAAGAGGTGATTTAATTTCTGGAGAAAGAAAATTCCTTGCAAAAGAAAGCCAGCACAAAGGGCCTCAGGCTAGGAGCCCAGGCATCCAAGGCTCTGAAAGCTAGCAGGAGTGAGGGGTGGGCAGTGGGGCTCTGGCAGGGGGTCTTAGCCCACTGCCCCTCACCTTCATCAGGGGCGCTGGCTCCTCTCGCTCCCGTAGCACGCAGGGACTAGGCTGGGCAGCACTCTGCAAAGAAACAGCCCCAGGATCCCTCTCTCCTCCCCCGCCACCCAAGGCGCAGGCAGCCCAGCAGCTGTGCTCTGGGGTCAGACGTCAAGAACCCCGCAGGGACCCTCTGAGGGCAAACAAAAACTCTAGGAAAAATTTTAGGAGAACATACAACCTAGTAAACTAGTGGTCATGGGGTGCTTTTTTTTTTTCTTTAAAGTATACCAAATATAATAACAATATGATAAACATCATGCATCTACCAATCAAAATTAACAAATGTTAATGTTTTTCCTATGTGCATCAGAGTTTAATAAAAAGATTTCTCAGCTCCAGGCTGAAATACAAAGCTGACCGTTGAGGGTGGAGGGAAGCAGCCAAAGCCTCCAAAGCCCCACCCCCTCCGGCCAGCCTGACCTCAGAAGAGTCAGCTTTGGAAACCAGCTGCCATCCTAGGTGGTAGCCATGAACACCACAGGGCTCAGACCCTTGAACCCCAGCTCCGTTCTGAGGAGCTGCAGCTGTTCTGCTCAGAAAGAGGAATGACGTGATAGGCACTGCCCTAAAGGGCTGGGTGCAAAGCCAGGAGGGTGCACCCACAGCCCTGGTGTGCAAGGACCAGAGGGAAGGAGCAGAGACCTACGGGCCTGGGGGCTAAGCCCACAGGACTGCCTATCCCATGTACATGTGGGGAAGCTTGCCCGGCTGATAGCTCGAGCTTTGCAGGCCTCAGTCAGGGTCCCACCTGCTGCGGGCTCCTGGGTTCCTGGGGCTCCTGAGGGCCCTCGGGGGCTGTGGCTTCAGGGAGCTCTGCTGCCCCCTCTGCATCCTCATCCTCACCACCACCTCCAGGCACTGGGCCTTCTGGAGAGGCACCTGAGCAGGGGAGTAAAAGACCATACAGCAGGTGGGAGGCTGCCCTTGACCAACACCCAGGAGAACCTTTGAGGCCCTTCCTTCACTCAGCCTCATTCATCAGACCCAGAGAAAGTAGCAGGGCATTTCACACTCTTCTCGTCATGCCACTCTGTTTTTTTGGCTCCGTTTCGTTTTTAGCAATTTTTCTCCTGAAATGCTGCCAGCCGTGCTTGCCCAGAGAGGAGGAGTAGGTCCAAACCTCACAGGCCCAAGAATGGTCAGAGGGCAGTCATGAGACCAAGACAGCACAGTGGGCCAAGGTGGGGAGGGAGGTCGAGGCCTAGGCACAAAGAAGCCAGGTTTCCTTTCTCCCCACACCTCATCCCTGGGGTAGCTGAGCACAGCCCCGTGAAGAGCCCCATCCTCCCACCTCCACCTCCACCCCCACCCTCACCCTGCAAGTCCACCACGTCCTCTCTTCTCACCTGGCTCCTGGGAGACGTTGACCACAGGGACAGGACTGCACACAGAGACTTCCATTGGCTGCTCCTCAGCCCTCTCAGGCTCTGGGAAAGATAGGAGATTGGACAGGGTCAGCCCTCCCCCTCCCCCAGGGGGCCCCTCCCAGGGGCTGGGCAGGGAGAGTCAAGATCTGGCACAGGACTCAGGCACCCTGGGTTGAGCCAGCTATGGGCAAAGAGGGAGCAAAGGGGAAGTGAGACCCATCTTCAGTGCAGGTGCCTGGGGAAGGGGGTGCCAGGAGACTGGCAGGCACAGGGGACCCTTCCTTCCCAAGCTCCCCACATCCAAGCCCTCACCCTTCTGATTCCTTGGCATCAGTGTCTCCATGGGGGAGATGCCCACTGGCTCCAACATGAAGGCTCCTCTGGGGTGGGGGGTAGACGTATTCATCCTAAAATCCTTCCGGCTGGCCAGGACCTCCCCCTGACAGCTATGCGGGCAAAACACAGCCACTGCAGAGATCCTTCCCGAGCAGCCCTCTCCCCCTTACCTGACTCCCCTCAGCCAGGCTCAGGCTGGTACCTGCACAGGGGGCTGACATTCTTCTCCATCTCATCAGGGGCCACAAGGGCCATGGGCAGGAGAGGGACGATGAGGACCTCCTGCATGGAGGCCAAGAGTGGGTGAGCCACAGGTCCCGCAGGCCCCAGGTGGGGAACCCATAGGGCATGACACCTTCCAACACCCCCTTCAGCTAAATGCAGCCCCTACAGACAGAGGGGCACTCACACGGGGGGGCAGGTCATTCCTCAGATCCACATTAGCACGGGAGTCAGGGAGGTCATCCAGCGACAGGAACTGTGGGGAGACAGAGCTCAGGAGCAGTGCCTGGCACATGCACAGTGGGCAGTGGCCATGCACCCAAGAAATCTCACCTGGTCCTCCACCTCCTGGGGAGCCGTGGAGCTGGTGTCCCCATTGGCCCCATTTTCCCGCACTGAGGAGAGCTGCTTGGCCCGCCTGAGAGAGAATCAATGCATGGATGTCTGGGAGGCTGCCAGGGCTTCCCCCAAGCTGCTCACAGGGCAGACACACAGGCCTCCACCTCCTGGCTCAGACCAGTACTCACTTCTTGCCAGAGATGAAATCGAGAGCCTGGTAGACCAGCGAGTAGAGGTATTCCACCTGGTGACCAGAAGCAGACAGTGAGGAGTGCAAAGAAGTCTACCCCAGATGCTCTATGGCTCTCCCCAGAGCCCTCGCTGTGTACACACAGAGACAAACCTGTACATGGAAAAGCCCACTGTCCTCTCCAAAACTTCCAGTACACGTTCTGCCAATGTAGCTGCCAGAAAGACTTCTCCAGTCCAACTAGCATGTCTCATCAGTTGTGGTCCTCTCCTCTTCCTCTGTCCCCAGGCAGTCCTGCTTGCCTGCAGGCCCTGCACACCGGCCTGTGTGCGGCCCACTGGCCCATCTCCGTGCTGCTCCCGCCCAGCACCCATAGCTCACTCCTTTCCCTCCCGCAGGTGTGGGCCACCAGTGCCCCACCTCCGGGACCCCACCGTTACAGTGAGGCTCGGGATTTCTGAGATGCTGACCAGCAGGGTGTGCACATGGGCCACCTCTGGGCCATTCCTTCTGGAGTAACAGCGCCCAAGAGCACATGCAACTCTCTCTTCTTGGTCCTGCCTTTTTTTTTTTTCCACGCAACAGATGTTTATTGCACTTCTTTTATGTATGGGGCTTGGCACTAGACACTGGACACAGTGGTGAGCACAACGGAATGGGCCCCGTTTAGCAGGATTAATAAACATTAACTTTTTTAAGCATCTGCCACATATACAGGACTGTGTTCATGCTTCATCCCATCTGGTCTGTCTGAAGTAGGTATCACTGCTGTTCCCATTTCATAGGAGAATAAACTGAGAGAGAGAAAGTCGCCTGGATCAGGGGTAGGTCCAGGATTTGCACGCATAGATGCGTCAATCTCAGGCTGCATGACCTAATCCGCAACCACTAGCTACATGTGGCTTTACCAATTTAAATTTAAGTTAACGAAGTTAGTAAAACTCAAAATTTCTCTGTCACACTAGCCACATTTCAAGGGCTTGGCGGCCACAAGTAACTAGTACTTACCGTCTTTGATGGCTCAGATCACAGAACGTCTGCATCATTTCAGAGAGTCCTGCTGGACACTGATGCCCCACAGCTTCTAGACTTTACTATTAACATGTCTTTGCACTTGCTTTACCACACACCCACGCATCTATCTGTCACCTCACGTCTCGTGCGAAGTTAATTGCAAGCATTCCTTCTTAGGACAAATGCAGAACATAGGAATCTGATTTAATGGGATTATCTGGGACAAAAACCAACAAGATCTTAAACCGTCTTAATAACTTCTGCTGCCCAGAGGTAAATCCACTGTGTCCTTTGCAAGTTAAGCCTGAATGTAGATCACTCACCCTGCCCTAGTTGGAACCCCATTATACACTTCCAAAGGCTTACCTCCTGTGCACTTTTTCTCTTTCTCCCACCCACTAAACTGCGAATTCTGGATCAGCGCTGTCACCCACTTTTCCTTGCTCCTCCACTAGGGGATGGCTAAGCAAGGCTGGAGGAAACTCACACAAAGAGCAAGGTGCACGGAGTCTCCATCAGACTGCCCGTGCTCTCAGTCAGTCTTGTTTTGCGTTCCCCTCAGGAGTATTCCCAACTTTCACCAAATTTCACTCTCCAAATTTCCTACCCAGAAGCTGATTCTCAGCAACTGACTTTTATTCTGTTATGAAAATTGGGGTCCTAGGCAGGAACTCTCCAAATGCCTGTGTCCAACTTCATTACATCAAAACTGACTTCTCCCTCCAGACTCCTGAGATGAGGCCCAGCAACCCACGGCCCTGAGCCACTCCTCAACTATTTCTACCGGGATCTTGTTTCATCTGCTGCCCCACCTGCCCTTTTACCCTTCAGCTCTGTGGTGTTCAATCCTGGCTGTCACTAAGGATGTTTTAAGAAATCCTGATACCTGCCCACTGCCCGGTTCTGATCTCACTAGGCCAGGCAGGGGCTAGCTGGGCATGAGATGGATTACAGCTGGGTGGAGGACCACTGCTTTATTTACTGCCCATCCTTGTCCCTGTAACCTCTCCTACAAGGGGTCATGTGGTGCCTCCTTACCTCTCCCCACCCCACAGTCTCACCCTCCTCTCACTAAAACCCCTGGTGACCTTCTAATTACAGACCCACCAGATGCTTGAAAACCTTTCCTGTGTGGGTCAATTCACTAAATTCAACAATTTTGGTCTTTTTTCTTCCCCTTTAAAAGTCTCCACATCTCTGACTTCTGAACATTTTTTATTTGCCTTTCTCTGACTTTTCCTTCTGGCGGGCACTTCCTAAATACTGGTTTTTCTCAAGATATTCCCTTCGTTCTGCTTTTCCTCTTACTCTACAACATGGTTTCTGGGCTTTGGGACTGCTGACATTTTAGACTAGATAATTCTTTGTTGCGTGGGGCTCTCCTGTACACTGTTGGATATTTAGCATTAGCAGCAGGCCCTGCAGTTATAAATCCAAGTTGGTTCTTCAGTTATAATTGTTCAATTATAAATCCAAGCTGTGTTACAAGGTGGTGAGGAAGAGGGGAGACAGGAGGCACTGGCGAGGCAGGGAACACACAGGGGTGAGCCTGACACCTGCCCCAGCAGGAGAGTGAACCTCAGTCCCATTAGACCAGCAGCCAGGCGGTACCCACCTTCTTACTGTAGACACAAGCAGACCCCTGGATCAACAGCGCTGCCTCAATGAAGTTCATTGTGGTTTTCCCCTCGTCAAAAGAAATGCAGATCTGGTCCAGCTGCAAGACACAACACCAGGGCATTGGGAAGCCAAAATCTGTGTACACTTCTCCGCACAGAGCCCACCCAGCACCCAGCCTGCAGTGCCCACTCATCACAAGGCACCCCTCGAGCACTGACTCTGCTCGGGGCTCTCTGGTTGTCCTTTTTTTTTTTTAATCTTTGGAGGCTAGACACAGTGTTCCAGAAAAGGAGGCCCCTTCAGTATATCAGCCACAATGGCTAGAGCTGCACAGCAGTGCCCTTCCGGAGGCGCTCCACTGAGCCCACCCAAGTCAAGGCCAACTGGGACAAAATCAGGCGGAAAACCCCTCACCCTGAGAGGAGGAAAGGGGAACCTCAGCAGTGCGGAGGACAGACACAAATCGCTGGGGTCTAAATCCTTTGAGCAGAAACTAAGGAAACACTTCCAAATGACTCCTCCTCCCTCCTGTGCAAGCCCTGACCCCCCAGGATTCCCCTGGGCCCCAGCTCCTATCACCTCTTAAGTGTCAGTGGCCCACAGACCATATGCCAACAATCCCCAACCCCATCTACGGCACTGTGCTCCCCTACGCTGCAGGACTGTGCTTAGAGCCTCCCCAAGACAGCTGAATGTCCCTAAGCTTTTTATCTCCAGACTTAACCCAGGGGGTCCCCACAACCTGACCCCTCTCCTGCACGCCTCTCAGCAAACAGCACTCTGAAGCCCCAACATGTTTTTTCAAGCTCTTTGCCTTTGCTTTCCACCTGCCCAGAATGCCCACTCCCAGCTGTCCTGGTGTGAACGCTCCTGCAGTGTGGCCCACATGCCTGGGGCTTCTCACTGCCTTGTTAGGGCCAATTCCAGGCTCTACCTCAGGGCCTGAAGCTGGTGTCCAATAAATGTTTGATGAACAAACAAAATGCTGGCATCAGGGCTAAGCCTGAAAGACAGACACTCCTCAGGCAGATGAAGGGTTAGGGTTAGGAAGAGCAACCACTTCCACAAAGGCAGTTAGCAGACCCGGGATTCAACTATTTAGGAAAATTAGTATTATGCAAACATGTCCAAAGCACAGGGTGTGCTGGGGAGCAAGGTTAGACACTAGGCACTATGGGGGCCCAAAGAAGGGGGAGTCTGGGGGGACACCACCAAGAGGCCAACTCTATTAATTCCTGAAGGACAGAGGAAGTTTTTCAGGTCAGTGGAGGAGCATGACAGTCTGAGAGAGTGCAGAGCATTCCAGAAGTGAAGGGCTTTCCCTGAAAGGATATGAAGAAGAGGGCAGCTGGGTCACCCAGGCCCTGAGCTGCAGAGGTGGCCCTTTCTTCTCAGCCTAGGCTGGCTCACCCACTCGTAGGACCTCACACTCCACGTGCCTTCGAACAATTCCTAAATGCATGCTCCAGGTTGGACCTCCCGTCTAAGCCTAAACCCATTATGTCCAACTGCCTTCTTCAAACACCATTTGGATGTCTTAACCAAAATTCATACTGGACAGGTCCACACTGAACCCTAGATATCCCCCCAACCACCCGTCCACAAACCTGCAAGTCTTAGCTCCTTCCCCCATTCAGTCCATGCCATGTTCCCTGCCATTTCCATGCTCCATGCTAACCCGTCTGCTCCTCTCCACACTGACCACCATTCTTGCTCAGCCAGCCCCACCTCTTGCCTAGACCTTGGCACTAACTGGGTTCTTCCCGCCCTTCACTCCCCTCCAGGCTCCTCTTCACAAGCAGGTGCTTCTCTGAAGACACAAGGCAGATTACATCACGCCACTCAGAACCCTAATTGCTTTCTGCCACTCTTACAAAAAAACCCCAAATCCTAAAGAGAGCCTCGCATGCTAACCAGCTTCCCTCTCCAGTTGTCCACCCTCCCCTACTCGCTGTATAGCGGTCACAAGGGACTCCCTCTCCAGGTCCCCGGTGGAGCCAAGCACTTTCCCACCTCCGAACATCGGAACATTCTTCAGCTCACTTGACTAGCCAACTCCTTTCACCCAAAGTTAGGTCCCCCAGGTAAACTCTTCTTGGAGCCCTCAACTTTTCTTCTGAATCTCTCGTCAGTTTGTTTTTACACAAAGACACAGTGAGGAGGGTGGCCTCTGCTCTGCCACTTATTAGCTAGGACTCTGAGCCCATCTCTTACCCTCTCTGTAGAACTAATACCTGTTCCAACAACTCTGCGTGGTTACTTCCTTAGGATCCATCCTCCCACAAGGGGGAAGCAGGGACTACTGTTTCCTTGCCACTATTTTCTCAGGGTTTAACACGATTCTTGACTATGACAGACACTCAACAACAACGAACAAACCAAGTGATGAAAGAGAATAGCAACATGGTACGATGTGTTAAATTAAAAAAAAAAAAAAAAACTTTCTGGTAGCTGCATGGAAAATGAAAAGGAAAATAAAGACAAAACCAGAAGCAGGGAAATCAGGAATTCAAAGGATAGAGAAGGTCTGGAAGAGCAAGCAAAAGAAGCATGAAGGGAGGAGTGGCTTGCTGGCTCAGTCAGTAGAGCATGCAACTCTTCATTTCAGGGCTGTAAATTCAAGCCCCACTCTGGGCTTGGCTTTTTTTTTTTTTTTTTAAATAAAAAAATTTTTAAAAGTCTTTGGATTGCCAGGGTGGCTCAGTTGGTTAAGCGTCAGCTCGGATCATAAACTCAGGGTCATAAGATCAAACCATTCGTCGGGCTCCACACTGAGTATGGAATCTGCTTGAGATTCTCTCTCTCTCTCCCCCCCTCTGTCCCTCCTCCCTACAGGCTCTCTCTCAAAAAAAAAGAAATTTTTTTAATTAAAGGAAGGAAGGAAGGAAGCAAGCAAGCATGCAGGAAGGGAGCTGACCAAGCTAGGAAGTAGATTTACCAGGCATCACCAAGCACCCTGCTCACTGTGGAAACCTGAACCCATAGTAGCCCCACCCAGCACAATTCTCTGAATTTTCTCAGCAGTCTACATGTCCAAGCAGAGGAGATCAACAGATCAAGTACTCATTCAACAAACACTTACTCTGTTCATACTATATGCCAAGCATTCTATTATGCAAAGGAAACAGAGTATACACATGGTTCCTGCCCTAGCAGAATTTACATTCTAGAGTGGAAAGACCACAAACAAGTGAACAAGTTAAAGAATAGATTGTGATGAACATTCTAAAGCATGTAATTTACTATAGCAGAACTATTTTAGACAGTGTGGTGAGCTGACCTTTAAACTGAGACATAAAGGATGAGGGGATTAGTTATAAAAAGAACTGGACAAAGAATATTCCCCAGTGGGGGCAGAAAATATAAAGACCCTCGGTCAAGAATGAGTTCCAGGGGCACCTGGCTGGCTCAGTCAGTAGAGCATATGACTCTTGATCTCAGGGTTCTGAATTCAAGCCCCAGGCTGGGTGTAGAAATTATTTTAAAAAAATAATAATAACAGTAATAATAAAATAAATTTCCTTAACAAAAAAAAAAAAGAATGAGTTCCAAAGTTGTAGGCTGATTGGCTTGTAAGAACAGGTGGAGAGGAGCCCAAGATGAGGCTAAAACAGTCAGCAAGGCCAGACTCAGAAAAGAAGGTTTGTACTCTATGCTGAGTGCAGCAGAAAGCCCCCGAGGGGTTTAAAACAGGGCACCACTGCAGCTGAATCACACTTGCTACTGGATAGAGCATGAATTGGATGGGGCAAAAAAACAGCTTTAAGGAGCCTAGGAAGGAAGGTTTTACACGAATCTGAGGTAAAGAACAGATGAATTCAAGTGAAATTCTGGTGGTGTAACTGACAGAATTCATGGGTGAACTAACTGGGTGTGAAGCATGGGGTTTCACTAAAGCAGCTCTTAGCTCTCTCTCACCTTTCACTGATCAGTAGTGCTATTTACCAAGATTAGGAAGACTGGGATTTAAGCAAGAGCTCCACTTTTTTTTCTTAAGATTTTATTTATTTATTTGAGAAAGAGCACGAGCAGGGGGAGGGAGCCAGAGGGAGAGGGAGAAGCAGACTCCCCACTGAGCAGGAGCCCAGTCCCGGGCTCGATCCCAGGACCCTGAGATCATGACCTGAGCCAAAGGTAGACGCTTAATGGACTGAGCCACCCAGGCGCCCCAAGAGCTCTGTTTTAATGTATTAAATCTGAGATGCTTGCACAGAACATCTAAGTAGAATGTCAAAAGTGACTAGCTGGACACAGAAAATAAATTCAGAGAAAAGACCTGGGATGGAGTTATAAATCCGAGAGTTATCCTCATACATATAATACTTAAAATCATGGAAATAAGTGAGACTGTTTAGGGGAGATATAGAAAAAGATGGCCCAGGAGCCCAGAGGAGCTCAACACACAGACTGGATAGCAGAGAAAAAGTAAGCAAATGACATGGGAAAAAAATCAGAGCAGGTAAACCTGTTCCAAAAAGAGGGAGTGGTCAGCCCAACAAATGCTGCTGGGCTGAATAAGGTCACATTTCTAGCGTCACTGTTGATAAAGATGAGAGCAGTCCAGATGGGCTGCGGAGTGAAAGCGAAGTGCACAAATGGAGCGAACAGCTCATTACAAAGCCGAGACACGGCTGTCAAGTATGAAGAAAGACTAAATGCTGACAAGGAGGAACAGGACAGTAGCCTGAAACGGGTCTGAAAATCCAAGGTAAAAAAATCCCGCTTCACCCGTGATCCAGCTCTCTCAAATACCCAAACATGCACACAAATTCTAGTCTATTGTGTTACACTAGAGAAAAGTGCTAGTCACCGCCCACTAAATCCATTTCACGGCTCACGAACAGGTAGCGACCTGTGATGACAACCCCAGGCTACTTTAACAAGAGATAATTTCAAGAGGCAGAGGTGGAACTGGGGGGAAAAAAAAAGAAACGAGCCTGAGAACGAGTTCGGCCAGAACGCGGACAGACACAGACGAGGAGGCGGGGCGCCGCCGCCCAGCAGCCCCCGGCCCGCCGCCCCGCCTCGCG